ATATTCACTATATTTCTGTATTTGCTCATCTGTCCTATTACCCCATATCACATTATTACATTGCAATTTGTTATTATTTTGGCTAGCTTTACATACAATTAAGTTTAAATTACATTCTACAATGAGTGGCAAGTGATCCGACCAGAATGCATTATATTTGACCCTGATATTTGTAAGTGTCCGGAAGGCAGCCTGACTTACAACACAATGATCAAGCCATGAAGTTGACCCGGTCACATCACAAACATATGTAAAGGTGTCTGATCTTGTCTAACAATTCAAGGTCTTTTTCAATTCATCAATTATTATCATGGTCAATTAATCTGTCAGTTTTAATTTCATAAACCATGTCACAAAGGAGCTCTTTTTAGTTCTGAACCAAAATTCTATTGTCTATAGTACTCGCTAATGAACTCAAAATAGTAGTTTATGTGACTGTTACGTAACGAAAGGCATTAAAACACTAAGGTGGGTTTTAAGATTTAGGACTGTTGGTTCCACTGCTTGGTTCCACTAGTGGGTCCAGTAGGATTTTCAAATACTCGTGGTTCCACTGCTTAACACAAGTGGAACCATCAGGATATGCTAATACTGTTGTCCCCACTTCAGTTGTAAAGATACTGGCCGCACTGACACATGAAATATAGATCGCCGTCATAATTATCAAATGCATTGATGTCATTGTCATTTAAATAGTTATACGAGGAAAATTGTACCTAATAATTTATTAAGTAATATTGTTTGCGGAAATGGAGGGCAATTTATGTTTCTTGAAGAGAAAAGGTGGGGTCGTGTTAATTTATAACGGGTACCAATTTTATAAACATAAAGTTTATAAAAACACGAAAACAAGGTGGACTTGCAGCCGCAAAGAGAAGGAAAAATATACTGGTTCAATAACTGTACATGTAAGTACAAAAGCGTCTTTATAAGTTCATGGAAGGATTTTCATTCAGGCTGAAGCAAAGCAAATGACACTTAAAACAATTTCGTTCGATTAGGCGTTCCAAGAAACGTAGACCGGAAAATTTACCTTTAAGGTAGAACTCGTACAGAAAGTTTAAACAGAGAAGTACTGCTACCATGTTTTGAAGGTCTCTCATTTTGTATTTCTTTTTAGGACGGCAAAATTGAAAAGTTTAGTGCGCATACGGTTACCTGTATGCCTGATGAAGCAAAAAATTCTGTAGATTTGGCCATCGATGAAATCAAAGCAAACGCTGGCACTTCAACTGATCCAGTACCAACCATTTTTCAGAACGTTATGGCACTGGACAAAGTAACTAAAATATCGTATAACAGTGTCAAGACATCGATCTACGCTAAAAGGAAGCGAGATTTTAAAGTACAGTAATGTTGAAGAGGTGGAAATACCAGCAACATTTAATGAGCTTTTGATGGCGGATTATAACTGCGATGGAATTAGAGTAATAGTATTTTGCTCTAAAAATTTCAAACCATTATTATATGAAATTGATGAATACTACGGGGACGGTACTTTCCAAAGCGCGCCTGTACCTTTTTATCAATTATATACTATACATGGCAACTTTGGAAGTACTCCAGAAATTACTAACATAGTACCTCTAATATATTGCCTAATGAGTAACAAAACAGAAGAGTCTTATGTCGTGTTATTTAAAATGATAAAAGCACAATGCCCACATTGGGAGCCAAAAATTTTCCATTCCGACTTTGAGACAGCGATGACAAATGCTTTAAAAAAAGAGTTCCCAAGAGTCACTATTAAGGGCTGCTATTACCATTATCAAAACGCCTTGTGGAGGAAAGCTAAATTCTTAGGATTAAAAACAAAAATGAATCTTCGTATAGTGGGATTGTGTAAATCACTTCCATTACTACCTGTAGAGTACATAAATGAGGGATGGAACTATATTCAATCAGAGTGCTACGAGATGCAAGAGGTGAAACCTTTTGTGACTTATATGAATAAGTATTGGCTAAAAAATTATGAATTTATTAAAGAATGGTGTGTATACAACCAACTTCATCGAACTAATAATTTTGCCGAGGGATGGCACGCCCGATTAAATCGTGTTATTAATAAAAATTACGTAACCATCGCGAAGTTGCTCTCCGTTTTGGTAAGAGATATTTCCATTAACAAAATGGCAATATCTAATGCGAAAACTGGACACTCGCAAAATAAGCGACAGAGGTTGTTAAAAGAAAGAGATACATTTATAATAAATACCCAAATGTCATTGATTCACAAGGAAATATCAGTCGGTCATTTCTTAGAAAAACTTCGATGAACTATGTGAATCAATTTCATTTATCAGTGGTTAATAAAAGAGGTTTTATTTAAAAAATGTCAGTGGGGCCACGAGGCCAAAAATTTACTTGTTAAAACTAAGACCGTTGGTTCCACCATCTAAGTGGAACCACGAGTATTTGAAAATCCTACTGGACCCACTTGTGGAACCAAACAGTGGGTCCAACAGTCCTAAACGGGTTTTAATGCCTAATTATAAACAGATATTATAAGCTCTCTATGATGTGTTCAGAAACCGCATGTTACGACTGGCGAAATGGTGGCAAATAAAAACTTTTCAACACAACACAACCGTAGTTTTTTTTAATTCATAGACAAACTAGAGTTGGCACCAACTATCATATCGTTCGATATCAAGTAACGTGTGAATGTTGTCAAAATTGTTTGCTATTGACGTTTCATTTCGAATAAAACTTCATCTCGACTGATATTAGAATTGAGGTCGAATCAATTGTTTTGTTTTTCAGAGATGTTCGAAATTTGAATGTAATAATAAAATCGAATTTGATGTAATTATGAAGCAATAATAACATTTTCACAGATAAGAAATTTGTTCTAACAATACAGTTTATCTTTATGCTGGCCGTCATTTGCGGTTTTCCAACACATCATAGAGGGTTTATGATGTGTGTAGGTAAAATTAATTATACACGGCAAAAGAGTTTCCAAAAACGAATGTCGTATTTTTGCTGGTTAAAATATCAAATATGACGCTACTCACATTGGCTACTGATTGGTTAAATTAGTAAAAAAAAAAATGATTGGTTAAAATATTAGTGGTACTTGGCCACTTCTATTATATCTCTTTGGTTCTTGTTTTGTAGCGTGTTTTAGCTTTCGTTTAAATATATGAAGAGATTGTATGGCGGAACATTTGCCTACGCAAATAAATGGGTGAAAATTTATTTTCGTATTTATAGTTAACAAAATATACATTATAATAATAAAATTCATCTTTGACGGAACGATAATCTGATAGAATTGTACTTATTTGTGCTCCTCAAAAAATATTTTTTGTAGTGGTGAATACTTGAAATTCTTTATTAAATTAGCAAAACTAGTGCTTATAACTTCGCGGTTTAGTAAATCGTCAGTTCACAGTGAAGAAACTATCGTGTTTTACGTGTTTTTTTACAACTATTTGGTACAAACTGTGAATGGTATCAGTGAGTAAATACCCTCCAGTATTTTTGATCGCGCGCGCTCTACTAGTGAATCTCGCCATTCCATAGCTTTCGTGCGTATAACGTAAGAGCGATTCTTGCGTGTGCACGCTCCTAACTCGCAGCATTGACCCTTGCGCTGCGTCAACGCACAAAGACTAACATCGCAGACGCGTCATTCATAATCAACCACTACGGGAATTCTCTCAGAGACAAATCATAAAAATTATTTAGTAAAGCACTACCAGAGTCAGAAGCTGTGCAATTACACGATGGTTTGCTTAGCGTGTAACAACAGAACAAGCCGAGCAGAGGTCATAGAATGTGCTACCTGTAAGGGATGCTATCACTACAAGTGTCTAAATATGACGGTCACCACTTATACCGCCAGTAAACGTAACTGGGTTTGCCCTTCTTGTTCCGTGACGAAGAAACGTGTTAAAGGTGATGAAACACCAATCCGTGTGCAATTAGAACAGCTCCCAGTCGAGCCAGATGTGTCTTGTGATGATTTGGGTTCTGATTGTGTCGCAACTAATGCAGCTGGTGGTTCGAAGGGTTCGTCGACTACAGATATTGCTAACGTCTTACAAGAACTACGAGCATTTAGAAACGACTTTGTAGGCATGAGATCTGATATCCGCAGCATCACGAACAGTATTCAGCAAATTAATACAAGATTTGGCGAAATAGAATCTCGTTTAAGCGACATTGAGGATAGACTGATAGAGAATGAAAAGAAAACTGCAGTGATTCCTAAATTAAAGCAAGACTTAGATTTAGCTAAGAGCACTATATCGGTACTGGAAAATGAGTTGCAACAACGGGATCAATTAGCCAGGATGAATAACATCGAGATATCGGGGATACCCATTACTGCTGGTGAGAACCTCTTCACACTGTTACGGGGCATTAGTAATAAGGTTGGATACTCATTAGACGATCGTGACATCGATAGTGTCATGCGTGTGCGAAGATTCGAATCGAGCAATGTGTCTAGTGAATCAAGCACACCGCGCCCGCCTGCCATCATTGTGAAATTTACTCGGAGGCTGTGTAAGGACACATTCCTAGCAGCCGTGCGTTCGCGACGCGGCCTAACTACTGCTGATGTTGACCTCCCGGGTCCCTCGCTCAATGTGTACGTATCGGATCACCTCACTCCTCAAAATAAACAGTTGTTAAAGCGTGCCAGACAGCTCAAAACTGACCTGGATTATTCGTATATATGGATTAGAGACTGCAAGATACTGATGCGCAAAAACGAAAGGTCAAAGGTCGTCGTCATCAAGAATGACACCGACCTTTCTAAGTTGAAATGACTTTTATTCCATATTTTCGTAGTTGTCTCGTAGAGGACATATGGAGCTTAAAATAAACTCGTTAAGGTATTTCACAGGTGTAATTACTGGTTTAAGTACAATTTTGAATTTTATATGTTAAGGAAACCGAACAGAGCGAAGACCGAAAAGTGAATGCAAAATTTTGTGCGGTAGTTATACAAAAAAAAAAACAAGCAGGCAAGTTAGCGCCTGGTGAATTAGTTGTAGCAATGACTTAATAGCATATACAAATAAGCTCAAATGAGCTAGGCGCGAACATCTTCCCCCGCGTTGAAAGGCATCTTTCAACTCTTCATATCTTCAGCTGTGGGTAGAGGACAGAGACGCACTAGCGGTCGGCGAATGCAACCTCTGGTGGTGTTGATGTCTGCCACTCGGGAAACTCCATCAGAACCGGGAAATAGGCGCATGACTCTTCCGAGGCGCCAGCTTAACGGCGGCACGAAGTCTTCTTGAAGCAATACCAAGTCTCCAACGTTTAAATTTGATTTGTTTGTACGCCATTTCGTTCTCAATTGCAGCTCCGAAATATACTCCTTCTGCCAGCGCACCCAAAAATGCTGGCGTACTTGTTCCAAGCGTGAAAACCGATTTAGTCCAGTTTCCTTGTGGTCGTTTAGATCTGGTGCTGGCAGCGCATTTAGTGGCCTTCCTATGATAAAGTGCCCTGGGGAAAGGAAGAGGAAATCGTGAGGACACGAGGAAAGAGGACACAAGGGACGGCTGTTTAGAATTGCTTCCACTTGTGCAAAAAGAGTTGTCAATTCTTCGAAAGTGAGATGGGTGTTGCCCATTACTCTTTTTATGTGGTATTTAGCGGATTTTACTCCAGCTTCCCAAATACCGCCGAAGTGAGGAGCGTAAGCAGGGCTAAATATAAATTTGAAACCTTCTTGAGATGCAAATTCAGACATAGGCCCAGAATTGGATTGTAAAAATGAACCTAATTCCTTTGCAGCGGCTACAAAGTTGCGTCCGTTATCGCAAAATATTTCCACTGGTCGTCCACGACGCGCTACGAACCTGCGTAACGTCATCACAAATGCATCCTTCGACAAATCACTCACAGCTTCTATATGAATACATTTGTATCGCAGGCAAACAAACAAGCACAAATAACTTTTAACTAATTTGGCCCCCCGACCTTTGCGATTTAGTGTTATAAATGGCCCTGCGAAGTCTAAGCCTACAGACCTGAATGGAAAGTCTGGAGTGATTCGCTGTGAGGGTAAATCACCCATTTTAGGAAGTAATGTTTTGCCTTGTACTCGTCGACAACGCACGCAGTTATAGACCGTACGCCTAGCGAGCTGTCTGCCCTTTAATGGCCAAACCGACTCTCTTACCGTTGCTAACAGCAACTGGGGCCCGGCATGCAAGTTACGCAAATGCTCATGTTCGAATATGAGTTTAGTTAGGTGATGCGACGAGTCTAGAAGTAAAGGATGTATTTTGTCGTAACTGTAATCAGAGGCACTTAATCTACCTCCAACTCTTATTAAATTGTCACTGTCTAAAAATGGGTTCAAGGGTAAAATTCGTGATTTTGGGCTGAGAGGTGTTTTCTTTGATAGAACAACACGCTCTTGAGCAAAAACTTGCATTTGAGCTAAATAAAATAGTGATTTCATTGCATCATTTAATTCGTTAGTTGATAAAATATCTAATCTTTTATTTTTAGGGTTTTTTGAGTTATATATGAACCGTTTTACATATGCCATAATTCTTTGTAGTTTTGTTAATTTAGAGTAATTTTCAAAAATAATCACTTGTTCCAATTTAGAGCTAACAGTAGTAGCAGTTATTTTAATTTCTGGTATATTTTGATCAACGTCTTTTGAATTTAAAATCGGCCATTTAGATTCATTCTGTATTAAAAATGTAGGCCCATTCCACCATAACTCAGAGTTGCACAGCTGATTTGGGCTAGCGCCTCGTGATATTAAATCAGCTGGATTGCTGGCGGTGGGTACATAACGCCAGGATGAAGGTTGTGTAGTGTCAAGTATTTCACCGACCCTATTTGCAACAAAGGTTTTAAGTTTGGTAGGGCTGCCCCTGAGCCATGCCAGGACCACGCTTGAGTCGCACCAGTGTACGATGCGGTCAAATTTGTATCGGACTGAATTTATCACCGAGTTGCTCAAACGTGCAGCGAGCAGTGCAGCACATAGCTCCAAGCGAGGAATCGTTGTGGGCTTGAGACAAGTAACCTTGGATTTAGCACATAACAGTCTCACGGTGACGTCACCGTTGCTGTTACTAGATTTGACGTATATACATGCGCCGTAGCCAGATAGCGAAGCATCACTGAAAGAATGCATCTCAATTGTTGTAGGTGACTCACACAAACCTGACCTGTTAATTTTAAGTCCTGCAATTACATGTAGATTAATGACAAATTCTCGCCATGAAATTTCGATATCTTTTGGTACAGGCTGGTCCCAGTGTACCTTTTGCTGCCAGAGTTTTTGTATTAGCATTTTTGGTACAATTATGCACGGACTCAATAATCCCAATGGGTCAAAAATCTGAAATGAGCTGGACATTATAGACCGTTTAGTTATAGGTACGTTTTGTGAAGGCACCCTAACCGGAAAATGTAATGTATCGGAAGCTGGACTCCACCCCAGTCCAAGTGTACTGGACGATTCACTCAATGCTAAGTTTTCTTGAGTGTCAATATATGAATTTTCGAATATACAGGGTAAATTGGTTTTGAATTTTCGTAGTTTGAAACAAGCTGTATTTAGAAATTTTGATACGGAATTTAGGATGAAGCGTAACTCCTCTTCATCATTTGACCCTGTTATCATATCGTCAACAAAAAAATCATTTTGTATGATAGTTCTGATCAGTTCGTCCCCACACTCCTCTCCAACCTGCCAAAGGCATCGCGTGCTTAAATAACTCGCACTTGCGGTGCCGTAAGTTAAAGTATTTAGACGCAGTGTCCTGATAGGCAAGGACTCATCTTCTCTCCATAAAATCAGCTGAAGATTACGATCCTGCTCAGCTACGAGAACTTCTCGATAAAACTGTTGGATATCGCCTGTAAGCAGATATTTATACTGTCTAGCTCTGATCAGTATGGAGAAAAGAGAGTCCTGCATCTTTGGGCCTACCATGAGGATATCATTGACGGAATAGCCGGAGGAAGTGGGGGCCGACCCATCGAAAACTACTCGTACCTTGGTTGACTCACTATCCTTAAAAATAGCATGGTGGCATAAAAAATAACACGTATTTGGCCTAGCCTCTGGAGATTCTGAAAGATGACCCAAATCACCATATTCTTTTATAAAATTTACATACTGACGTTTTAGTTCAGGGTCTCTTCGAAAACGCCTCTCTAAATTTAAAAATCGTTTTTTTGCTAAATTATAGGAATCCCCTAGGCAGTCTGGTGAGTCGACCAATGGTAAATTTACGCAGAATCTACCTGAATTGAGGCGAGTGACATTAGCTATAAAATGCCTTTCGCAAGCTGCCTCTTCCTCACTTAAAACAGTCTTTTGGGGAATATCTTCTAAATCCCAGAATTTTGTTAACAAATTCTCAATATCTGATTCTTTAGATGAACAATTGTGTACTGTAGTATAATTACAATGGATTTTAGCTGTATTTTGTTTATTATTACACATAGGACCGCTAATAAGCCAGCCGAACTTGGAACTGTGTATTTTAGGGTTATTTGAACCAAGAGATTTCTGCTCACATCCCAGAATATCCCAGAAAATATCGGCACCAATCAACACTTGAACTGGAGATGGTCGATCAAAAGTTGGATCAGCCAGTTGAATGTCTTTCGGTAATTTAATGTTTTGTAAGTTAATTGTCTGCTTAGGTAAATAACCTGTCAGCTCTTCCAGAACAAGACACGATAGTGTCACACTGTAATTTGAATTAATAGAACATAATTTGGTCACACAACTTTCGTTTACTTTATTGGCAGAATTATTGCCAATGCCAATAATATTCATGTCTATAGTGTTTGAATTTAGCGATAGTTTTTGTTGTAACGATTTTGAAATAAATGACGACTGGCTGCCGCAATCTAAAAGAGCTCGTACCCGCTCCCTTTGCTTAGTTGCGGGGTTGATAACGTCAATTAAAGCTGTAGATAAAATAACTTCTTGTTTACCATTTTGGTCACAAACGTGTGACATAGTTTCAGACGGATTGACTGCAGTATTGACACTACCAACAGAGTTACTATTAGAATTGTGTAATAATGTGTTGTGTCTCTGTTTACACTCGCGACATGGACCCATACGACAATCATTCAAGTGGTGACCCTGCCTTAAACAATTTATGCATAACTTGTATTTTGCTACATCAGCCAACCGCTCTTTAATGTTTTTAGACTTAAATGTAGGACAATCGTATATCCTATGGTTTTGGTTGCAAATTATACATACATAAATGTTTGATAAAGATCTTGAATCTTGGCTTGTTGTAGCAAAAGATTTTGTATTTGAAAATGGTCTTTGTGTATTTTGATTATGAGGGAAACTTGGCAATGGTTTGAAATTATTAGAATTTTGATTATGAACTGGAACTCCTGATGGGCGAGTATATTTAGAATAACTCCCATCAACCTTGTTACGATTTATGGATTCGAGTACATTGGCACGATCAATTAGGAATTTTGTATACTGTGCTAGTGTGGGAAAATCATCGTCAAGCGAGTTACGATGCTCTTCCCACTTCGTAAGAGTGTTGCTGTCGAGTTTTTGGGAAAGAGTAAAAATAATCAAAGTGTCCCATGTGTCAGTTGGTTGACCGAGACTAGCCAAAGCACGTAGATTTTTTGTAATGTGGTCTATGAAACAACGTAATGCACCTTCAGATTCGCGAGTTAACGGTTGTATGTTGTACAACGACTTGAGATGATGCGTTATGAGCAATCTATTGTTGTTGTACCGCTCACAGAGTAACTGCCAAGCATCATCGTAATTGGCAGAAGATAATTCAATGTTAGAAATTACCCCAGCAGCGTCACCTTCAAGATAGGATGACAAATAATGAAACTTTTGAACTGAAGATATTTTTTTGTTATTGTGAATTATGTTAGTGAACGTGTCACGGAATTCCAACCAGCGGAAATAAGACCCATCAAATTTTGATATTTGAATTTGGGGTAGCTTAATCCCAACATCTTGGCCGTCACCTTGAGCATCTTGCCAAAAGGAATTACGTCGGTCACGTTCTTCTTGTAATGAAGCATCATGTTGCATATTTAGAATCATTTTAGCAGCCGCAATACAATCAATAATACCTTGTTCGACACATTCGCGCTCATCCAATTCCGTTCCAAGATTTTCAGAATTTAAAATCTCGATCTGAACCTGCAGCTCATCGAATTTTGAAGATAAGCATTCAAACTTGCCGAGTTTAACAGTTAATTTAGCAATATCAATGGCTTCAAATCGAGTACTACCTTCAAAAGACTCCAAATAATTCCTAAATTTGGTTATTTGTCCCTTAATAGAACTGCGTTTTACAATCAATTCCTTTAATTGTTTTATTTGTAAATATTTAGAAGATTCGCCCTGATCGCTTGATATCATTTTGTTAAAAAGATAAATTACACCTGGAATTTAGTGAACACAATAGTGAAACGGTCAAAATCGGTAATACGAGTTCTATTAGAAATAAAATAATATAAGTTATCTCACGCTCCCCTTCCGGCGATACCTGCCGAACGGTAGTCTGGATCCGCTTACCACGCGTAAATGGAGATGATAGTAGGTAAGAAGTTGATAACTTGCAGTTTGCTAGATGCTGGATGTTTGATGAGAGACCCTGGAATGTTCGGCAATCCCGGGTGAAAAACTAGCATACAATTAATAATCAATTATTTTGGACCGTGGTCAACCGTGACCATGGGACCTGTAAAGGGCCCGAAACGTCGGTTTGTTTGAAAAAACAAATATACGCGATTTAAATCCGGAAAAATAGTTTCATTTCCTAAATTATTTTGGAGTTAATTGACCTTAAAATATATGATGCAATATTGTTTGAAATTTATTTGGAATTTGTCCACTTTACGACTGTGTTAACGACTTTTGTTGAGTACCAACAATGTCTCGTGAATAAAATATGCAAGTAATAAATGTTTTAAAATACGGTTAGAAGACGTAAAAAATAGCAAATAATTTTGATTAAAGATTGGTTTTTAGTAAGTATGCACAAGTAAAGAAATGGTGGGTAGGTATCTTAACACAAGTCTTGCTTTGATTAAAGATTAATTTAGATGAAATGGAAGCAAAAGGAAAGGATTTGGGAATTAATGTAGAAAGAAGGAAACCTAGGGCACTTATCTTTAGCTGACGTCTCTTGCGGTGTGATGCTTTAGTTGCATCACCGGCCGGAATGTCTGATAGGTTGACCTCAAGTTGTTTCTTTTACTTCTTACGTTGCTAAGGTTTCTTGCTGCAATTTCAGTGCCGCAGTATTTGCTTCTGCAGTCTGTCTGGATGTAGTATCGCAGTGGCTGATCAATCCAGGTGCTGTTTAGTTGTAACCGAAAACTCTTCCGAGCGACGTAGTAAATTCCTTACTTCCTTGACTGTACTATATTTAAAGTACAGTCCTGTCACGGTCGCCAAAAATATGTCTCGTAGAGGACATATGGAGCTTAAAATAAACTCGTTAAGGTATTTCACAGGTGTAATTACTGGTTTAAGTACAATTTTGAATTTTATATGTTAAGGAAACCGAACAGAGCGAAGACCGAAAAGTGAATGCAAAATTTTGTGCGGTAGTTATACAAAAAAAAAACAAGCAGGCAAGTTAGCGCCTGGTGAATTAGTTGTAGCAATGACTAAATAACATATACAAATAAGCTCAAATGAGCTTGGCGCGAACAGTAGTTTTTAGCACTAATCAGGCTCATGTATATTTACTTTTTGATGTTGATCGCTCTTTTGTTTATATTACTGTTTTGTGTCTATACTTCACATTTTGTTTTTCTGCTTTTGGTTACATGGCAACTCTTAACTATGTACATTGCTCTCAACTTATAAAATGTTTATATTTAATGATGCTACTATATAATTGCTTGCAACGAGGTATGCATGAAATTCCATATTATAATATTATCAATTCCAATTTAATTTTATTAAATAATCAAATGGTGAAAAATAAATGTTTATTTATATTAATTGATTTTAATGGATCATAAACTTATGTTAGGTTATTATCAGAATGTAAGGGGTTTACGTACAAAAACACACAGTTTTCTATCAAAGGTGGCTGTTGCCGACTATGATTTTGTATGTGTGACTGAAAGCTGGTTGACACCAGATTTTTATGACCGTGAGTGTTTCGATAGCAGGTACGTAGTATTCCGCAGTGACCGTTCCTATGAGGAGAGTGGTGCAAAGCGTGGCGGTGGAGTTATGGTGGCAGTTCGCGCTAATCTAATGCCGCTTCGACGGAGCTGGCCAACCCCACCGTGCTCCGATTCCGAATGTGTATGGCTATCTATACCTTTAAATATTGGCGGTAATAAATACTTAAACATCGCCTGTGTTTATATACCAGATGGAAAAGGTTACCGTGACGCGCTTGAAGCATTTTTTAATATTGTTAGTGAAATATTAAACGATCGCCCGAATGATTCATTTTTGCTTGTAGGTGATTTTAACATTACCTATGCAGTGTGGCAGGAAACTAGCTCTTTCAACAAAATGTTGGGGAGCGGTGGAAACCATGCAGTAAAATCGTTGAGAGATTTCTTGGCTTTCACTAATCTGCAACAGTTTAATGGTGCTTATAATGCCAATAGCAGAATCTTGGACCTAGTCATGAGCAATATTAATTGTGAAGTCACTACTTGTACTCAACCGCTAACCCCGGAGGATATACACCATAAGTCAATAGAAATTTGCTGTAACATTGACAATTTTAAAGCGTTGCATTTGGCTACCACATATAATTACAATTTCTATGCAGCGGATTTTGATTCTATTAATAAAGAACTTGATTGCATAAACTGGTCTAAAGTATTTAACAATTTAAATGTGGAGGAATGCGTCTCTAATTTTTACAATATTTTAAGAAATAATATTTCAAAATTTGTTCCTCGTAAAATAATCAGGTCGTCACAATCCGTTCCTATATGGTATACTAAGCCCCTAAGAAAACTTCTAAATGAAAAAAGAAAATATCACAAACTATGGAAATTGTATGGGAATCCCTTGGACTATCAGAGTTTTAGTGTTTTAAGAAAAAGAGCTAAGCGTATGGAAACCGAATGTCATAGTAATTACATAAGATACACAGAAGATAAAATTAAAACTAACTCTAAGTATTTTTGGACATATGTTAAAGCTATTAAGGCTAGTAATGGGATACCGCGTACAATGGTATACAATGGGATTAGTAGTAATGACGGAAAACAAATTTGTGATTTCTTTAATGAATACTTTCATTCGGTATTTGTGAATAATGATAGCCAGTCGCAGATTAATGACTTGGATCTTCCTGAAAATACAATCTTAGATATTAGTTCGGTCGAGATTAGCACAAAGTCTATCAACACATACCTTAAAAAAATTAACGTTAACAAGGGTGCTGGGCCGGACGGCATACATCCTTTGTTAATCCGTATGTGCGCTGATGCATTAAGTTATCCCCTCACTCACATTTTTAGGTTGTCTTTTAACAGTGGTTGCATTCCTCAAGTTTGGAAAAGTGCTTGGATAACACCTATTCCCAAAGGTAAGGTAAGTGATAATGTCGTAAACTATCGGCCGATTTCAAAACTATGTCAATTCGCTAAAATACAGGAAAAGCTCGTTACCGATCAGCTATTTGCGGTTGTCCAGCGCGCCATAGTACCAAACCAACACGGTTTTTGTAAAAAGCGTGGTGTGGAGAGCAACTTACTGACTTTTACGGAGCATATATTGTCAGCTATGGATGAAAATGTGCAAGTAGATGCTATATACACAGATTTTGCTAAAGCCTTTGACAAAATTCGACATGACACCTTACTCCATAGGCTCGGGCAGCTCGGAATACATGGCGATTTGCTTCGTTGGATACGTTCGTACGTGGAGAATCGTAGTCAGGCCGTTGTACTATGTGGTTATCGTTCTGCATATTTGAATATTCCCTCTGGAGTTCCTCAAGGTTCACATTTGGGACCCTTACTATTTATTATTTATGTCAATGGTCTTACTAAGTCCATTCAACACTCAAACGTATTACTATATGCTGATGATACTAAATTATATAGAGTTGTTAGAGAAACACACGATGCAGCGTTACTGCAGAATGATGTGAATGATTTCGTTGACTTTTGTAATAATAATAATTTATTCTTGAATCCAGATAAATGTTTTACTGTTTCTTTTACACGAAAGAAAAAACCTATTATATATACATACAAAGTTAATGGTAGGGATCTCAATCGTGTAAATGAAATCAGGGATCTGGGGGTGACAATGGATTCCAAACTGTCTTTTATTCCTCATATAGATAAAATTGTTGAGAGTTCATTCAAATTATTGGGTTTTATTTTACGCGTGGGAAAACCCTTTAAAAATGCTTACACTTATAAACTATTATTTAATAGCTACGTCCGAAGTAGACTGGAATTCGCGTCTTCTGTTTGGAATCCTTTTCAACAAGTCCATCAGGACAAAATTGAAAAGTTACAAAAAAAGTTTATCAAATCTTTAGATTACAGAATCGGCCACCAGCGCATAGATTATGAATCATCCCTTACATTCCATAAGACAAACACTTTAAAGCAACGTCGTGAAATCGCTGACATTGCATACTTGTATAAAATATTAAATAATATGGTTGATGTCCCCTTCCTTTTGGAACGAATTAATTTTCGTGTACCCCGTAAGCAAGAAAGAACAAATCGCAAGAAAATACTATTCGCAATAAAATCTAGTAAGACTTGCTATGGAAGTAATAGTTTTATAAAGAGAGCGTGTGCCTTATATAATGATAAAATGAATGATGCAGATATGTTTGTTAAGTCGCT